CCGGGCACCCGGAATTCTCAAATCAAGTAAAGCATGGCCCAAGGGATTGCCAAGGGGCGGACTAAATAGTGCGTTTATCATTTAATATACTTCCCAATAATTGGCTAGGATTAGAAAATTCCAGAAAGGGAAGAGCTACAAGCAAGCTGGAAATGTTTAATTGATTTTTTCAGACCACTCCAGCTGCATTCTCCCCTGCAGGACAGCTCTCTCCTCCCTCCGCCCCAGTTCTGACATGGCCCCTGGGCTGTGTGCGTGTGGACGCTTTCTCCTTCCGGTGCAGCAGCTTACCTGTTCTCCCTCACCTGTTCTTGACTGAACTGCCTGAGGAGGAAAAGAAGGGCCTGGAAGAGGGAGAAGGAGAGCAGGAGAAGGGGAGTAGGAAGGGAAGGTGGAGGAAATGGAGAAGCGGAGGAGGGAGCAGCAGGGAGAAGGAGGTGGTGCAGTTATATACTTTTTAATATGACTATCCTTTGCCCCCAAGCCCCAATAGATAAATGTTGAGCTACTTTTAAAAATAGCCTTGATTTGAAAATCTGCCACATTGTTGGTATTCCCAGGGCTACTGTTTTTCTGCTCAGCCTCGGCTGCCCATCCCTCTTTTTTAAAGATTTATTTATTTATGCCTATAAGAACCGGGGTCCAGGCTAGATGTGTGGGAGGGTGACAGGATTCACCCGAGACAGAGTGGGGAACAGAACAGGCAGACTGACTGAAATACACTGCTGAGGGGAGCAGCAGGCGAGACAGGAGAGGTCTGCTGCGCCATGTGGGTATCTCCCTGGTTGGGAATGGAACCCACACTGCAGAGGCTGTGGACAGCTTCGCAGCGCTGCGCTCAACCCACTGCACCATCGGGGAGGCCCAGCCCAGCCCAGCCCTGCTACGAATATCTTAGTTCCTTCCTTCTGCACAACCCGAGTACAATCCTAAGGAAGGAGCCTTCACTCAGCTCCTTCATCTGCCTGGTGTTTCATGGCAGAAATGCTCCATGATTCTGTTTTCTATTTTCAACAATTCTATTTCCACCTCCATTTTTCCTTTTCTAAATCTGCCTATCAGGAATGACTTGGATTTACTGGAATCAAAATTCCCAGGCTTGCCAAAGAGATGTATTGCTCTAGCGGTTCATTGTTAGGATCTGTTCATCAGGAACTTGAGACTGAATTTCTACACATGTTTATTCCTGAGTCTGGAGTTTTTAAAAAGAATTATTTTTGTTTTTTATGACTTGGCATTGCACTGGCACATAATAACTGATGTGCAATTGTGTGATTTGGTTGATGTTACAGGCCACCATACTTGAACTGCTCGTTGATAAACAGAAACCAAAAATATGGTCATTTTCAGTTTCCTGATGTTTAATTTCTGGAGTCAGCTGTCTCTTATGCTTAGGGGCATGAAGGTGTGAACGCAATGATGAGTCTAATGTCCACAGGGACACTGCGGTGGGCAGAGCTTCCTGGCCACCATGACCCTTCCTGAGGCAGAAGACTTTCTCAGTCCAGATCCAGGCTGTGAAGTCTGTTCTTCCTCCTACATCAGCAGCTGAGACCCCGCGGAGTCTGGGAACACACACAGGCCAAAACCTTCTCTCTCCTTTCACTGGAGGGGAGACGGTGCCAAGAACTTTGGAGCAAAGGGACCTTGATGGGGTCATGGCTGACCCCACACGGTGTTATTAAAGATTGAATAACCCATTTGGCAAACATACTGATATAGAAATGTGTTCTGACGTCTTTTGGGGCTGAAGAACAATGCTACAGTGCTGGGGAGGAGGGTGGAGTTTCCCTGAAAGGAACGGACAGTTCGACCACCAATGGTCCTGGGAAGAGGTGGGAGCCTCGAGGTGGGCCGGGCCGCGGGAGGAGGGATGGCCGCTTTCCTCCACGGCCTCTGTTCAGCCGGGCCTGTGGTGGTGGCAGGTGCTGGGGGCTGCGATGTAAAGACAGATTGGAAGGGTCCAGGCTGGGGCAGGATTTTAATCCTGTCTCTGTATTGTACTTTTCCATGATTTCAGAAACAAGGAACACATGTGTGGGTGTGTGTGTGTGTACACACACACACACACACACACACACACTTCAAGTCACCTGAATTGGAAAAATAAAATCCCTGGAGCTATGGCAGATTGCATCATCTGTAAAGTGAGGAGCTAGGACATCATACACAGGGGGCTGTGGGGATTAAGTGGAATAATCCATGACTGGTACTTGCAGGTCTGCTCATTAATGGGTGTTGCTCCGCCCTCTCTGTAGTAAATCACCAGAGGGACTGGTCAGGCAACAGGGGACACATATATTATTCGAGTGCTCCCAAGAGGCTACACTGAACAACCTAGGTTAGGTGCGTAGTGGGCTAGACCAGCTCGGTTTTTGTAATGATGCTCTGTGACAGCCACATAACAACAAAGTTGCCTAGTGGTACATTTCTCAGAAGGTATCCTATTGTTAAGTGACCTGTGGCTGCATTTCTGTGGAAGCTTCTGTCTCGTGTACTCTTAGATCAGCGGTAAACATTGAGCTCCAAGCAAAAAAAAAAAAAAAAAAAAAAAAACTCAGTTCTTTGCTCCACGAACATTTTGACAAACATGCTCAGGTGTGTCACGAAGGCTCCCAGCTCTTAATTCTTGGGTTCCTCCAACATAATTGTAAAGAAACAGTGATGTGAAAAACAAAATGAGGAAATGTCAATGAGAAAGGTGCTTCAGAGATGACCTAGTGTGGTTTCACAACAGGGCATTGTTGATTTTCTGATGGAACAATTCCCTGTGGTGTGGGCTGGCCTGCTCCCTTTAGGGCAGGTAGCATTCTTGGTTCTCTTACATTTTGTGATTTCCAGAAAACTCCCCACACATTTCCAAATGCCCCAGGGTGGGAGAAAAGAATTGAGAACCATTAAAATCTCCATTTTCACTCAAGGATAGGTAGGCCCAAGGAAGTCATAAAACTGGCCAAAATTACAGAGTAAATCAAAGACAGAGAAGAAACCAACTCCTCTAGGTTAAGTCTTATTGTCTCTTTATCTGGATTAAGAAACTGTTGCGGTGGTTAAGGGTGTGCCTTGGCTCACACAGTTCAATGGCAAAGCCTGTGTTCAGCCCCAGGCCTGGTTGGCTTCAGGGCCATCCATTATGCTCCCTCCCATGATACTCATATCTTCTTAGAGATGAAGACCCCTGCACGTTCAATATTTTCTGTAGGACGTTTTCTCCACCCCCAAATCACAACTAACAGAGGGATAATCCATAGATTTTTCTACTATTTTGAAAATTTTCTAATTTTTCTTGTATTAGCGACTGTGAAAAGTGACATCTTACAGTTATAGATGAAGCAGAAATCCTTACATTTTCCCCCATTATTACCCAACCATAATTCATTTTGAATTGTGCAAATAATTAAACTTACCCAACCCTACATTCCTTCAGTATGACAAGTTCATCATGGGAGTTGTCAAACAGAGATATAAAATGTTGATGGGATATTTTACCCTAAATGTACACAAGTACTAGAGGCAAATTCTTTGAATTTATGATTGTAGAAGCAAAGAATAGTTCGATTTTGCATAGAGTGAAAGTGAATATTAAGAAGAGGGTTCTATATAGCGCCTCTCTTTATAAACTAGCACATTAACTATTTGTATCCATCTACGCAATTGGAATCTTTCTGGCTTTGGGAACTAACACATGAAATAGTTCTTTTTTATTTGAATGACCTGAGAGTTCTTTTTTTCTATAATAATCTCAGTGCTATTTGTTCATGTTTTTAATATACTTGCAAATAAGGTATAACTATAATTATAAGGATTGGTTCTACCAGTGACAATTAAAATATTTCTCATGTTGCAATGTAGATGGTCACCCAGATACCCCATAAGTATGCTGACACTAAGCTCTTAAAGATTATTTTAGAAACATAAATGCCAAATTTAAGCATTTTTGGAATGCCCTTGCATATGGTGGCATTTCTTTTCAGTTATCTGTGCGCTCTCTTTTATTTCTATGATGCTATCATTCCAAATCTAATGCAGTCATATTATTTAGAATAATTTTTAGAATTCAGAAAGTCCACACATGTAAAACTTGATTATGGTGAGTTGGCCTTTTTAAATAGAGCAGAATGTCAGTGAGTATTACTGGATCAGAAACATTTCAAAATCAATTACTGTGTTTCACAATCACTAGAAAGTAAAATCTCCACATGTGCAAATTTACTCAGACAATAGCTAGATAATTATTAGCAATTTCATAACTAGAGGAATGATCTGAATCCCAACCTCTACTCATGAATTCAATTTATATACTTTTAAAAATAATTTGATGCTTTTAAAAAGCAATATTGATAAAGATTGGAGTTTTCACCTACTTAATAGAGATTATCAAGAAATTGTAAGGTGTTTTTCCTCTTTAAATACAATATGAGACGATCAAGGACATAAATATGTATATGGAAATTTGGCACCAAGTTTACATCCAGGAATTTATAGTAGCAAACGATTGTCATAACCTTCAAAGAGTTCATCTAGGAGGCCACATGCATATTCTAAGGATGACGCCTTTGTTCCAAACCACTGTTTCTCAAGCTGGGGGTTGTGAGCCTTGCAGTGCCAGGATACAGTCTCAGATACCTGTGGGTTCTCCATAAGAACCTTTCTAAGGTAATCTCCAGAACTTCAATATCAGCATGCTAGGGGTCATCTGACTGACCACTCATGATGGAACTCTGCCAAGTATTTTTATGCCTCTGTTTACATGTGAATTTCCAACTTACCAGCATCAGATAACCAGACTTTAATTGTCACAGGTTAAGAAGAAAAGAACACAGAGGTGTTCTTTTCAAACAAAGGCCTAGTACTCACCTGGCCCTGCGGCCCCAAGGTTGGGGGTTTCCCAGGGAATCGAGAGGATGAAAGCAGAGGGAGCTTTGGGTCACCGCTGGACTCGTGGTGGCAGAGTCATGCTGAGCTCCAAGACACCTGTTGACCAGCAGCCACAGCAATGTTCGCGCTGGGCGCAGTGGCCCCTTTTCAGAAAAAAATATCATCTGTCAAGTTAATCTTATGTACACAATTTGAATTCTTATAGATTTTTGTCATTTTGCTTGAATTCCCTTTTAAAATTTGTCGTGCTGTATAATTTTACAAGTGCTACCAATCCAAGGATATTTTTATTTCCCTCTTTATGTTTGTATACATCTATGGAATGTTGCAGGGAAAAGCAATTTAAGACAACAGTAAATGATCTGTGAGAGTTTTCCTTTAAAATCTTTTATGTATTGATAGTAAAAATGGAATTTTCAGAAGCCACGCTCCCAATGTTTTTCTTTGGGAATTGTCTCGAAGGTGCATTTCTTTGAAACTTCTCAAGAGTATCAGACTCCCTCCTCCGCTCGTGGATTGCCAGGGTCGCGCATCAGACATTATGCATTTGCCTGTCTCGCATCCATGGAACCTTTTGGTTGCTTGACCCTCTATTTTCCTTCCTGGAATGTGGTCTTGGTAGAACTGCCAAACAACTCACCCAATTCCTCCTCCACCCTCATGCCCCAGCCTAGGGCTGGACAGGGAAAGCAAATGAAGTCAGGCAGACTCGCTGGAATCTGAGGCTTGAAGCAGAGTGACAGAAGCCCTGAAAATAGTTGGAGCTGATTCATCCCAATGGTGGTGGCCCAAAGAGGCTGTCAATTAGTTCCTGCTACTTTATTCCCTGTTTTTTTTTTTTTTTTTTCCCCAGATTCTGTTTTTTCCAGATTCTGTTTTTTTTTTTCCCCCTCAGATTCTGGTCAGCTGTTGCTGTAATTCTATGGGTTAACCTTACCTTTCAACAAATCCCTTCATTCCTGAACAGTTTAGCCAGTGTTGTTTCTATTCCATGCAACCATTGGTAGGGTCATAAGGAGTGAAATTTGGTGAAAAGGGTTAGTGATATGCCAGGAATTTTTTGCTTGGGATCAAGAAAATAATGTGGAAATAAAATCATATTAAGTTGGATTTATTGAGGCTCCTCATCTGGCTATGAATTCTATAAACACTACTGAAGGAAACCTTGAACTTGGTGAGTTTAGAGTCAAATATAGCTGGTTCTCTCACTTTCTAGTTATATGATATTTGAATTCTCTAAGCCTCAGTTTCCTCACAGATGAGTTGAATATAATAGCAGTATATTGTAAAGATTGAATGAAACAGGGTATATAAATGGAAAGCATTACTGTTATAAATAGACATGTTTTATGTGATGGTCATTGAACAATATGTGCTGGGGGTACAAAAATAATAAAAGAAATTAAATTTACCCATATTCATAAAAAAATCAATGCATTTGGAAGAAGTACACTGGTATTCTGCTTTGGGGGAGGGCAAGGAATTAAACACCCCTAGGGAAGGGTTTAGTTACAAGCCTTGTGAGGATGGGAATAGAAGCTATATAAGGAACGAGAAACTGGAGATTTTAGAGTGAAAGGTGATGTAATAAGATCCAGTCTGTAAAATTAGGGGGCAGTAGTCAACTGTGTTTTTTCTGATGTTATATATGGGATTATTGACTCTAGAGGCAACACTCAAGTTATAGTTTTTATTAGTTCACTTTCTACTCAGGAAACAGACCCTTGAAACAGGATTTTGGCATTGTGTTGTGTTACGCTAATAACACACAGAACACAGAGACTGTTTCCTTGACAGGGGCGAGGAGGGTATGAGACATGGCCTGAATCACTGCATGCAGTGGCATCAGAATTACTCAAATTATCACTGTGTCATATCAAGTGGTGAAGTGCAGGCGGAGGGCAGGGATAGGGGATCAAGTGGCAGGGACACTTAGTTCCTATGGTGGAGGTAGTCAAGATTTTGTTTGTCAAGATTGTGGAGTCATCTGGCTGCTTCTGAGAACCCCAGCTAGTGAAGGACAAATGAAGAACTCTGAACATAGTTTGAAGAAAACACACAGGGAAACAGAAGGCCTCCATGACAGCCTTGTGGAAGCCAAACCTTCTGTAAATAAATGCAGGATTGATATTGGTGGGGGATTAGGGTCAAGAGCTTAAACCACTAGGGTAAGGACACTGGTGGCACTTGGTTTGAAGACACTGAGCAGAGATGGACAAGATGGAAAACTTTGAGCCTGTAAATTTCCTCTTAATGTCCTTGGTAGCAGAGGAAACCCCATCGTTCTCCAAGAGAATGAGACCTCCTTTGACAAAAGTCTCTTATATGGGCCCCTGGCAATTACCTCCCAAACTAATGTCACCATTCATTGTCTGTAGACCTATGACAAGAGTTAAAACCCACAGAGTCCTGATGGGCATGTGTGAAGGCTGGTTTGGGGAGCAAGAGCTTATACACAGTTACAAGATATCACTGATCATTGTTGACAAGAATCTGAGAAATTTCCATGAGAGTGTTAGACCAAAATGGCAACATTTGAGGCTATCTTTGGGTAGATCAACATTGGAGCAATCCTTCTGGAACCCAGATTTAATGTGTTGGCTTTAGGGTGCTGAATTGGTTAATCAGAATCTGGACTCAGCCAAGGTGGGGCAGACTGTATTTCCAGGTTGCTTGGAATATGTACCCTATCCTGTGTGCTGAGCTCAAACAGCAGAGGACTCTTTGCTGACATTTTGTTTTTGGTTACCTTTGCCTAAGAACACTTGTCTAATAGTTGCCATCTGAATTAATCATGCCTTCATTTTTATGTATTTTATGATATTTTGGCATTGCTGGTGAGGGAAACACTGCCCACTGAGGGCTGGGTAATTCCTAGGGATAGCAAAGGGTGCTCCTGTAAACTTGTCTTTCATGTACATACCAACTCACCCAAAGTTAAAATCTCCAACTACCTCCTTTATCTAACGCTCATACCTCAAACCAATACCTGGCCTAAGCAGGTGTCAGACAACTGGAGACCATTCCTTCAGCTCATAGCCCTATGACATTATTTAAACTATTTAATTCTAAATTTACTCCAACATGTCCACCCTGCCTCACCCATACCCTCTTCATCAGTCTCATGATCACACATTTCCCCATGTGGTGCTGCATGACGTACACACTTTTCTTGGGAAATGTAAGCAATAAACTGTTCTTCCAAAGGCAGTTGTCTCTGTATCTGTCACCTTACCAAACCTGATTAAAATAAGTTGCAGGTACACTTTAGAACACCCTCTTTCTCTACGTAACCACAGATATTTTAAAGGTGCTGTGTGTCCCAATTCTCTGCCTGTCCACAGCATACTTCCCCAGGTCACAGCAACAGTCATGCAGGGCTGGTAGGCAGCTGCGGCTCTGGGTCACTAAGCCCTGAGGCTCTGTACACTGTGTAGACAAAGTTTTCACCCTCACCCACCCTATACTACAGAATACCCTTTGGGTATTGCAATTTTTAAAAAAATTTTCTTTAGTTTTTAAACTGCGTCTCGGTGGTTTTTCCTTGTTCAGAAGAAGAAAACAATCCATTATTTTGTTTCATCATCTTTGAATAGCTGCATGTACCAAGAGCCCCCCTGGATTTTATTGATGAAATATGTTTGCAGCCACACAGATGTAAGTTTTATAAATGCGAATCTCTCCCCAAAGCACAGTACCTGGCCATGTAAAAGATGTGTCAATCCAAGTCTCCACTTGGTGTCTATAGCTCTGGCAGCTTAAAAATAACTCCTGTTGAGAAATAAAAGAGCGCCTGTTCACAATGAGGCCGGGAAACAGGGAGTTCTAAGAAAATGGGCGATTCACTTGGGAGGGGGAAATCCAAAATAAATAGAAAGCAAGGGATTATGTATTATTAAAAAAGAATTTTCCTGCAAAATAAACCTGGTAGGTTTTTTAAAAAAATGACTTGTTTGATAAAACGTTGAATTTGAAAAATCAAGTCAAACACAATCGCTGAGTCACTGCTCTCGTGAACTGAATATAGCTGGGTGCTATCACAAAAGTATATTTCCTCCCCTCATATCAGGTCAAAGAAACTCCATCTATTGATTTATTGGTCAGCAAACAACAACTTTCTGACATCTTTTGTTGCTACAGTTTTATTGGAACACAGTCATGGTCTTTATTTATGGCTGCTCTCATCTACAATGGCAGAGCTGAGCATTTGAGATGATATTACACGGTCTGCAAAGTCAAAGATAGTCACTATCTGACCTTTCACAGAGAAAGTTTGCTAACTCTTGGTTTGGGGAAATAACTTGTTGAGTCAATAATTGTGTAAGAGATTCCAGGGACTGTTTGATTTGCCCATGTTTGCTTAGACAACTACAAATGCTGTTTCCACCTGATGAAACATCAAATGATCCACTGTCATTTTCTGAAGAATAACTTCTTTTCATTCCAGTCAATTCAGACATCTAAATGGATACATGCTAGGAATCATTCTCTTTTTCCCAGGGTGGTTGAATTCTCAACATGAAAATGTTTGTGACTCTAGGGTCCCGACTGGGAGAGTGTTACCCTCTGATAGGTGTACCTTACAAGGTGGGAAACTGGAATCAGTGCATTAGAACAGCATCACTGGTGGCATGTGGGACACTGATCAACCCTGTTTGTTGCAGTGATGCCTTTGTTAAAGCTTCCACTGCTGGTGTACTGGCATAGGATATAACATCTTGACCCCCTAGATTCTTCTGCATGTCCTGAGCACACAGGGCACAGTGTTCTGTTAAAGGGCCATGTTGCCCCCTTGCTTGAAAACGATGCCTCTGCTACTCAGCACCATATGATCTCTATATCTGGATACAAGGACAATAATTAGGGTTAAATCACCATAAAACTCAGTTGTAGAATTGACGGGTTGGCTAGGGAAGGGTGGGGTCTCCACACAGGAGGAAGAAACTCACCAACATGCAACAGCAGCTGGGAGGATATATATTTAATTGGATCCTGGGAATGTCGAATGAAGGGAAATTCTTGTAGAATATAAAAATGGAGAGTTTATCGTGAGAGCATTCTTCCATGAGACATGACTTAATGCCTTTGCAATCACCTTGGTAGATGATGACTCTCAGAAGTTTGGAGAACCGGAAGGCTCATACCAAGGACAGTAGAAATTCTGGAACTGCTAAGGCAGAGTGGAAAAACTGATCAGAAGGCGCAGAGAAGAGGGTATGGTAAGGTCAACACACAGTCCAAGGCCACAGAACCCACCAGTGATTACCACCTGGGGGAGGGCCCAGAGGACCATCACTTTTTCCATGGATGAAAGAACCCTTTGGCTAGAATGCACCAGGGCCACTGACATCCCTGTTGGTAGTTATTCCTGAGCATAGGGCTGATGACAAGAGGTGTTGATAGAGAAGTGGGCTTCCCGGTTCCAAGGGGATAATAGGATTCAAAATAATAAAGACCACAGAAACGGCTGCAGGCTGAGAAGGGGGCAGCAGAGAAGGTGCCTGAGGCCTGCAAGTGAAGGAACTAGAGGCTGAAGCTGGTCAAAGCAGCAGCTCAGGTTGAAATCCCCCTTGGGGATCCCATGGAGTTTGCAGCTCTGAAGGGAAGGAGGAGACACAGGAGAAGATGACCATCCTCAGATGGCCTTGCAGAACAGGGATGAAGTTCTGGAGAGCTTCTTGACCTTTGTATGTGATATCCAGTCAGAAATGCATGAAAAAAAAAAAACAACCCAACAAAACAACTGTTGCATAAATGGGTAGGGGATGAAGAAAGCACCACCTGTTCCATGAATTAGCATTTTTGATGCCTTCCTGGAATACGATGCTTTAGTAAAGCTTGAGTTCTATTTTTGTGAAAAGGCATTAAATGACTTCTGTATGTTATTTGTATAGTAGTAGGTTTTTCTACTTGTTGAAGAATGACAAATCTAGATTCTCTGTACAAACTTAGAGTTTATCCAAAGACGTTGTTCTGCAACCCATCCCAGGTCAAGCAGGCTCATAGTTGGTTCAGGCAGCTTAAAAGAGAACCTTGGAGCCCTTGGCATCACCCCCACAGGTTAAGGGAAACAAGCCAGCAGGGAGACAGCAACTTGGGACTCCTGAGAATCTCTATAAGTCTTTTCCTCTCTTAGCGGTTCTCCGTAGCTCTCCACCACACTCTGCCGCATGGTCCTCTGCCCCACTGGCCTCTGCAGCCGCTCTTATGGGTGCTCGGCTCAGGTGTGCTCACTTACACACGCCCACACCATCCTCCAGTGTCCGCCATCAGGCATACGCAGAAGACACAGGTGTCACTCATAGGTGCTAATGGAGGCAGGGTGGAAAAAAATTGGTAACTTCCATTTGCCCTGCAGACATAATGATTTTAACCTCATATTTCTTAGAAACATAATGGGTATATGTTATCTACTTTTCTATGCCCTTTAGCTTAAGCAATATATATCAATACTGACTTTTTGTAAAAAAATGTATCATCTTTTTTAAAGAAAGAAAAATGCTAAACACTTTTTCCCCCTAAAGCCTTTTTGAAGGCCAGGAGCTTTAGCTACAAAAGTTAGTTATTTGTAAACCATGTGACCCAGGAACCAAACTTAAAATAATCACTTCTGGCTGAGGGTTCGAACAATAAATACAGTATAATTGTTTGGGCTGCTTCTCATTTCTCTAATTAAAATTATTAGATGATAGATTTCAAGGATTTGTTGCATGTTATCAGCTTGTGTATGAATAACAATCATTTAAAAACAAAGACTGCCATGCAAAAAAATAGTATGGCACGGGCATAAACACAGGTACACAGACCAGTGGAACAGAACGGAGAGGCCAGAAATAAGCTGTTGTTTATACAGTCAACTGTCTTTTTGGTAAGGACACCAAGAACACACAGTGGGGATAGGGCTGTCTCTTTAAAACATGCTTCTGGGGAAACTGATGCCCACATGCAAGAGAAAGAAACTGGACTCTTAAACTGTTGATAATAATTAATCAAAAAATGATTCAAAACTTAAAGATAAAACCTGAAACTATAAAATGGATAAAAAAATCTCTTGACCTTGGTCTTGGCAATGATTTATTGGATAAAACACTAAAGGACAAGTAAGAAAAGCAAAATAAGTAAGCAGGGACACCAAAATAAATTGAAAAGGCAACTTACAAAACAGAGAAAATATATGCAAATCATCTGTTTGATAAAGGGTTAACATGCAAAATATGTAAGGAACTCATGCAACTAAATAGCAAACGAAAACAAAAACAAAAACAAACAAACAAAAAAACAAACCAAACCAAACCCAACAAGTGGACAAAAGACCTGAATGGACATTTTTCTAAAGAAGACATGCAAATGACCAATAGTTCCATGAAAGGGTGCTCAACACCACTACTAGGGAAATGCAATCAAAACCACAATGAGAAATCACATACTCGTTAGGATAGTTACTTCAAATGGACAAGAGATAACAAATGTTGGCAAGGACATGGGAAAAACACATCTTTATACACTGTTGGGAGGAATGTAAACTGGTACAGCTACTATGGAAAACATGTGGCAGTTCCTCAAAAAATTATAAATAGAATTACCATAAAGCCCACTAATCCCGCTCCTGGGGTCTATCCAAGAGAAACAAAATTAGTTATCTTGAGATATTTGAACTCCCAAGTTCAATGCAGATTATTCACAACAGGCAAGATATGAAAACAGCCTGTAAGTCCTTTAACATATGAAAGAATAAAGAAAATGTGGTATAAAGTAACACAGCAATGGAATATTATTCAGTCATAAAAAAGAAGGAAATACCACCAATGGCAATAACTTGGATGAAACTGGAGGGCACGATGCTTAGTGAAACAAGACAAAGACAAATACAGTATGGTATCACTTATATGTGGAATCTAGAAAAGCAACTTTCATAGGAATAGAAGGGAAAAGTAGTTAGCAGCAAACTGAGAGGGTAATGAGGGGTTGTAGGTCAAAGGGTGCAAATTTTTAGTTATAAGAAGAGTAAGTTCTGAGGATATAATATCAGCACGGTGATTAGTTAGTAACATAGTATTGTGTAATTTTAAGTTGCTAAGAGTAGATCTTAAGTGTTCTCATCCCAAAAACAAAAAATGAGATAATTTTGTGAGGTAGAATCTGTGTTAATTATCTTCATTCAGTGATAATTTTACTCTGTGTGTGTGTGTGTGTAAAGTTATCACATTATATGCTTTAAATATATGTAATCCTGTCTGCCAATTATTGCTCAACTATCAAAAAGATTGAGTTCTAAAAATCAAATATATATAAAAATGTAGATTTTTTATCTAATGGTTTTTTTTTTAAGATCTATGCATGTAACTATGAGAATAAGAAATAGCATAAAGCAATTTATATATTGGAATAACACATACATGAACAAAAAGCACTCTTTTCTGAGAACATAACCCTATCTATGGCATACACAAAGAGGATCTTATGGGAAAAAATGCAATGTAAAGAGAGCAACCAAGGGGAGAAATAATATCAATACAGGAATCTTGCAGACTGACAATCAATGGGCCAAGAGTTGAAGATATGGTTAATGAAAAAATTTGTACCTGAGGTTAGGAAAAAACTCAAAATGATTCACTAGGACATAAATGATTTGCAATTTAAGAAAATTTGTATCTTTACACACATTTGCACATGAGAAATTGCCCAAGTAGAAAGTCATTTTATGTAATCCCACAAGACTTCCAAGAACTAAAAAACAACAGGATTCAGGTTAACGATAAACCTTACTATTT